TAAAAAAAAAAAAAAACATTAGAAACAAGTAATTCTTTTAATTTAAATTACAATTCTTAATCTAACCACAATTACGGTTCGTTTCTCATTTAACTTAGCTTCTTTTAAGAACTTAAATAAATAAAAGTTAAACTTTTACTCTAGATATAGAATTTTATTACAAAATAAATACTTGGAACTTTTATTTTAAGAAATGTTTCCTCTTAAAAGTTTCACAGAAACTACTATAATGGAATTTTTTTAAGAAGTTCTCTAATAGTTTCAAAATTAAAATAAAGTTTTATTGTTATTTTATCATCGCTGTTGCTGCCCTTTCTTTACAAAAGAAACAAATAATTCCGTAATCACTTTTGTAACAAGAAAAATGTTTGTTACAACTTATACTTGTCATATTTCTAATAATCACACGAGAGCAACGATATTACGAAAGATTCATAAAAAACTCTTATTTAACGGTTAGTTACTATCAACTACAGATATTTTACGTATTGCAAAGATAGGCACACACAAAAAAAAAAGATAGCTGTAATTAAAAATTTTCCCACCCATTTTCTTTGTATAGTGGTTCGATACATGTTTGCGTTAATAAAAAAAAGTGGTTAAAAAAGCTAAGAAGATAATACTCTAGGATTATCCAAGAGAGGCAATATTTACATAACATGTTTTCGTCACAAAAGTTTATATCATTCTATTAGTGTACAGCTTTAAAATAAAATGAATTACGATAGTAAATGTTATTTTGATTGTATTTGAATCTTATTAATTCAGAGTTCTAAAATGCAAGCTCATTTAGCTGTTTATTAGTTCGCATAACCCGATTCACGGCAAGTTTGTCGTTCGTTATCAAGTAAGTCTTGACTCCAAAAATTAAATATGTTTTAGAAAGATCAATTTTCCAAACTAAATAACAATTTTTTTATTCGAAAAAAGAATAGGTGTATATGTTGTTTAATAGGAAAGCAGAAACTCTATTTTCTATCCTTGTAATTTTATGCTAGTGGTAGCGTATTTGTTTAGCTCTGATAATTTTATTTGAGTGAGCATCTTTACACAAGGTAAAGTTTTTAAGAAAAAAGTTACCTTGTACCAGGAAATTTTTTTTATTTTTTTTTAAACTTCCTTTTTAGACAAAAATTAACCAAGTAGGTCAGTAAGTATAGTAAATAAGAAAAAAAACAACAAATTTACTGTTTTAATTGTTTATTAAGATACGTTTTGGAAAATTTATTCCTGTCTTTTAAATCTTTAACGTCACTGTAGTTTCAGATAAGCCATCTGGAATGCATTTTCATTTATTATTTGTTTGAATTTCATGAATCTACTAAAATAAAAAATATAGATACTCAAATACTCATACGCATTGCACTTCACTAACTTTATCATTTTATTCAAATACAGAAAATAAAAGCCTGAGAAATAACATGAAGTTTAAAAACGCAAATCCTCACATTCCATACGTTCAATGCCTATCTTATTTCACAAACATTATATTTCTAACAATTGCATTAATATAAATAATTAAATGAAATTTAATAAAATCGAAATCAGAATATGTTAAGCTACTATCCTCCAACTTCGGAAAAAAATTATTTGAATTGTGTTTGAAATATCAGTGAATACAAAAAAATACGTTTAAACGCCCATAAAAGATAATAGGTAATGGAATTTTGTGAAATTTATAATAATTTTGTCACTGATCTCTATAAATTTTAAAATTTTGGGCCAAATGGAAATAGCTATATTTAAAATACAGATGTATCATCAAGGATAATTTGTTTGTGCACCCATAAGCGATAGTAGTCGATACCTTTTAATGAAATTGATACTGTATAATTTATTTAAGAATTCCTAATATTCCCGCAATCTGGTTCCATGAGATCCAACAACTTGTTGGAAATCGAATCAAGTCGAAATATACATTTTGTAGGACGCCTAAAACTTTACTGAATTGTTCAGTAATTGCTGAGACATCATAGCAGAGCTATAATCTTCGGTATTATTCCAATATGGATGCTCCCATAAACGATTTCTTCTTTGTCTACGTCTTCTTCTTATAGTACAAGTCATAATTATATTTTTTTTCGTCTGAAAAATCGGATGATTGTTTATTTATCTTTCAAACTCACGTACTAAACTAACAGAGATAATGGATATAAATAGAAGATGCAAGACGCACATTCATCCTTCATCCAGGACGCATGTATCTTGCATCTAGCATCTTCAGTGTGAAAGGGTGTTCGCCTGTTAACCTGATTGAATGTTAATTTTGGTGCGCCATTTATCAAGTCAGCCTTGTAGAAGATTTAAATGAATCGGTGCTTTTCGGGTTGCTGCGATCGGATTAGAGTCAGTCGAGAGTATCACAGTATTGTCAGTGTAAGTAGCGACCAATGTGTATGGCGTTTGTGGAATGTCAGGAGAGTAAATAGAGCACGGAACTGGTCCTAAAATACTGCCATTTTTAAGATGGTTCTTAAAATACCTATCATAAACCAAAACCATATATGTTATGAAATTGCTGCTTACACAACAGATATATTTTTTTTCGATTTTAAGTTTTTACGAGTTGGCCAGTAAGAATAATTTACATAATATATTGGTCAGTGACCCAACGGCAATTAACTATTGAAGTAAATAAGTGCATTATATTATGGGGAGTAAATGTAATATATACATATTTTGTCTTCTCGGTCGCTTACCATTTTTTATATTATTTTTATATTATATCATTTATATAAACCATACTGGTTTATTATAGAAAATAATAAATCAAAGATTGTATACAAATTTTAATAGACTATATGCTTGTAAATAATGGTCTGAAATCGATAATTTGTTTTTCGTTTGTTTTTAAGGAAATTTAAAAACTTTTAAAAATATCATGAGAGTAAACAATTAATATATTAAAACTAATTCGTTTTTTTTATATGTGTGCAAATTAGATTTTTTTTGTTGAAGTTTTTGAATACATAACTTTTCCTGATTTATCTTGAGGGATACGCTTATGTTTTCTGCATTGAAGAAGAAGATAATCCTCAAAATTGTGGCTAATTCGTTATATTTGAAGAATTAGCGGCGATAGTGGCGTATTGACAAAAATTCCTTTGTAATTCTGTATGTGAAGATAATATTTTACACACCCATAACCTCCAGTTCTCTTATATTGAATCAAGATGGATTAATCTACACCCGAACCTTGGTCGAATTATTTCAATGATCAGTAATCAGCGAGATAGACACGGTTCAAAGAACTAGTATTATAAATTAATTCCATAGAGACTAGTGGCGAAGAGTTGATTCAAATATTTATGGAACAAAGACGGTCTGTTCCATTATGAGAACAGTTATATGAGCCATTGTTCATTAGCAATTGTGCTTCTTCATTTGGAATAATTAGAGAGAATTTTACTACTGTATGAATTCATTAATCGTCTACATTTAAATAAAATTTAAAACTATCTCGTTCTTTTTTTTCAAATCAAACATTTTTATTTTAGTTTTTAGTTGTTATTTTGGATTTTAATTTGAATGCAAGCAGCAATTGAACACCAAACCAACATAAAAAATACGGATAAAAACAATTATATAGTTTGTATGAAGCATAAAAAAATATAAATACCAACATAAGTTGTGTTATTACAATAAAAAGGCAGGCAACGTAAAATAATTAAAAACTACAATTAACAATAATAATTAGTATAATTGGTTTAAAATAACTGATTCCTATCGAGAACAAGTTCAAATTAAATATCGGAACATGGGGAGATGTTGGCCTTCTATTTAATATGGATACTTTGAATAACGATTTTATGAACCCTTTTGCACTAAAATATAATAATAAAACTAGCAAGTAGTAATCTAATAATTTACTAGCAACTAAAGAAAGCGTAAGTGTAAAGATTCAAAGAGAGCGATAAGAATAATTAAACTCAAATTGTTTAAGAATTAATTAATGGAATTCTATAACTTCATTCTTAGTTTTTTTCGAGTAATACTTTTTTTCATTTTATTTATTCACTTATTATTTTGTATCTATTTGGCTCTCTATGATTAAAAAGGGAAATAATTGTTTAAAACATCTCAAAAGATGTTAAAAATATAATTTGAAAATCATAAAAAGAATAAATTTTATGTGAATACTCTGCAACATTTCTGTAACTATCCAAATAATTCAGAAAATGAACAAGAGGCGTTGAGAAATACTCAATACTATATACTCAATTTATTTTATTATAAAATTAAAATATTAACATTTAAAAAATAAAAATATATTATAAAACCACTCAAGCAAGAAATGGAATTAATTAAAGTGATGGATTAATTAAAGTGATAAATGGCCTTAAGTTGTAAAATTTCATTTACCTCTTAAGTTTCAAATTTTGTAGCAGAACAATTAAAAAATGAGACTTTATATCCTGATATGGCCATAGAATATAAATGCGCTTTATAAATATCGTCGATTTTATTTTTACAAAATCATTTAACTTTACTTATAATAAATATTAATTTTTTCAAGTCATTTTAAATATTTAGTTGAAGTAAAAAATATACATAGTAAAAAAAACAATTTCAATTTATTTCTCTCAATATATTTTTCTGTCAATCGATGAAGGATTTATTATATTTTTCAATGTATTTATTTTTTACCTTTTAACTTATTTCAATGAGAATCTATTGCATCGTGCATGTTTTAAATTCTACCTGTATTATAAAATAATCATTATTATGGTAAAATTTGAAAATACCTAATTTACATCAGTAATGTTTTTTTTTATGACGTAAATGTAAGAATTTTAATTCAATTATTTTATTTTAAAATTAAATATAAATCTGATTTTATTCTGATTTATAATAGTTTAGTTAAATTTAGATAAAATTGAGCAAACAATAACACTGTTAGTAATTTGCTTCCATTGCTAAGCATTTATTTTTGTTTGAGAGGAATTAATTTAGACATAAGCTGGAAACACTATCTCCTCAGGAGGTCATGGGCTATACTGATACAAGGTTAGAAATTTTTGAACTTATGTAACTGAAGTGATAGCGTCCACTCAGTCAGTAACTGCCGAAGAGTTGGTGCCGCGCTCGTGTCTTTGCCGTCAAGCTCTTGTGTGTTCTGTGCTGCTCTTCGTCCGGGAACACTCGAGAAGATACTGGACAGCGACCGTGGAACGTATGAGCTACAGGAAGGTAACCTCGAAGAAGAAAAACCGGACTCGGAACAAGGTAGTCTTGCCAATAAAAAAAATTATAAAATATACAGCTTAAGTAAAACAGGAAAGTGATCCGAGTTGTCTCGGGGCCATGAAATACAACTAAAATGACTTATAATTTGTGAAAGTACCATATATTTATGCTATTAGAGATGTAATTAATACCTGACATTTTTCTTCTAATGGAATTTTTCCGTTAGCAATTACTGAGGCATGTAAATAGAGTTTTTTTTTTTTGGTTTGTATATGTATTAAATTAAATTTCGTAATTATCGTTATTTTGTTTTCATTCAGTTGATAGCCCTCTCATTCGGTTTACCGAGAAGTTTATTTCTGGACCATGCTCAATGAAAGCTTAGGATTATGCAGCTACTAGATTAAATCGTTAGTAAAAAAACGTTCTGTAACGATGTACAAAATAAATCGAATTCATTCATTTTTTAATTAATTAAACGACTAATTTTTAAGCGTATTGCGATTGTAAATTTAATTAATATAATAACAAGTATCATTATTACAAAATAATTTTAAACATTACATTACATGAATCTAATTTTTCGAAACCATTAATTTTCAGTTGTTTTTTTTTTTTCAATAAATGTTCAGTCATAACTAATTATATGTTAAGTAAACATTAATTATTGTTTTTATCATCATAGTGAAATTAACTAATATCGTTAAAAAAATATTCACATTACTATGATAGTGAAAACCGTGCTAGTTTTTGTTTAGTTGATTCATTTTCACTTAAAAAATTTTCTCTTGCAAATTTTTACTTCGCGAACGCTTTCGAAAAACTAGATATCAGATTAATATGCTTTATTAATATTGTTGTTAATATATATTTATATGATGAAAGTTTTTATTAAAATTGATACTGTTGATTAACAATATATTATCTTTTTTTTTTAGTTTTTAAATTGGGTCGAAACGTCTTAACAATGCTTATCCCCCAACGGTTTCCAATGGCCCCGAGTGATAGTGTCGACGGAAACACCCTTATCAGCGTTTACAGGAAGTTAAAAAATTATGATAAATAAAATAAACAGGGAATGTTATGCTTTCCTTAAGGAAGGTATGTAGTTTTAAAATACTACAAATCATCTAAGCTGGATTTCAATTATTGCAAGACACTAGGTACCGTTAGTATCAATTATTACTGGGTAGAAGTCAATTCTATGATCAGTACTTTTTCCCCGAAGTATTGGTGATAACGCTTAAAAAATTAGGAAAGCTGTAGTTAAATATTCAAAATGATCTAATTATTATTGTCTTTCAATAACTTATTTCTGAAAACAAGGTGATATATACACTGGTTTTATATAGTTAAAACAATCGTATTGATGTAGCAGTGCAATATCGAATGGTTGATAACAATGTGATATGATAAATATGATTCAAATTCAAATTTTAGAAGGAAAATTAAATTTTACAATGTTATTTTATCAATATGTATTACTATTATTTGTTTTAGAATATTTTCTGCCTGAAATGTTCTTTTGTACTTACTTTCTTCCAAATTATTATTTTGAAGTGACATTTTTTTTTTGTTAAATTGTCGAAGACAATTTTTTTTTTTAATATTCTGTTCTTATCCTGTAGTATAAGCTAGTAGTAAAAACCTATATTCTTGGTCTAATACTTCTTGACCAATTGTGGTCCTTTGAAGTATACGAAATTTCTCTGTTTTTCATCTGCAGACAACAGTAATGGCTTTTGAAATGTATGAATGAGTACAAGCTGTCTTAAAAAAAAAAAAAAACAGAGTGTGAATAATGTGCTCTCTGAACACAGTTATCAATCTCCTTAATTGTGGCGAACTGTAATATTTCTCAATAAATATGTTTAAACATAAAAAAAAAATAGTTTAGAAGTTACTGAATGCAATAGCATTAGTGTTGCCCAAAATCGGTCTTCGTCTTTCACTTTGGAAGTCCAAGACTAAGGCTCCCTAACTGTTCCAAGACCAAGACCAGGACTGGTATAAAAAATTGATTTTTTAAAAAATAGAAATTAAGGCAAAATTAATACTTGATAATCTTAGTTACTATTATTATTTTATTTTATTTTCAACCCTCCCCTGCCTGAAGGCAATACGGGTATTTGCAGTAGTGGGATGTTACTGTTACATAACAACCCACTGCTGCATTTTTGGCTATTACATTATTTTTCTGAGCTGTGCACACAGCTTGCTCTTCTCTTCACTTGCATCTGGTATACTTTTATTCTTATTCTGGTGGTCTCCCCGGTGCAGCTTCTCTTCTTCTTCCCAAAGAGAAGTGGGTTGGTAGAACAACTTCTTTCCATCCGTATATAAAACTTTTAAAATGATCGTATCTTTCTTTGTCCATAAGTTGAGGAAGATCTCTCTCTGTTAGGACAAAGAGACCTGTTTCTCTCAACAGTTTCGCCCTCAGTGACTCATAGACCGTACAGGTAAGCACAACATGTTCAGCGGTCTCCGGTACCCCACAACTTGGGCATAGGGGATCGATATTTATACCATACTGAACGAGCTTTGCTCGGAAACCCCCATGCCCCGTGAGAATCTGTGAAATCCAGTAGTCCGGGAGGACCCAAGTCGCTTCTAGTCGCGAACTGACGGTGGGGAAGTACTTCCTTAGAGTAGCTCCTTTGGGAGTCGTCAACCACCGTCGGTTCCAGTCCTCTACTGTATCCTCCCGGAGAATCTTCTTCCAGTTTCTTGGATCATCTCTTATTCTCACTCGGAGGTAATCCGGTAGAGCCGCTAAGCATTCTCTCCTAATCTTATAACGGTAGTAGTCTTCTCTCAGCAGGAGGTCGAGAGGTATTCCTCCTGCCAAGACCTGCACAGCCTCATGAGACACCGTCCTGAATGATCTGGATACTCGAAGCAGAGCCATCCGCTGAATCGTGGCCAACCTACATTTCTGTCTGTGCGAGAGATTTTGGCTCCAGGCAGGGGACGCATACCTCAGGATACTCACAATAACACCTTTATAAATGGTCATAGTTGCTGGGTACCTGAGTCCCCAAAATGCGCCCCCAATACGACTGAGTCCGTTAAGGGTTAGGGCTACTCTACTTCTCCAAGTAGTCCAAGTGAGGTGTCACGTTGAACTTTCTTCCTATCCTAATCCCAAGATAGGTGACAACCTCACTTGGACGTATTCTTGATGCTTGTATAAGCATTGTTATAGTGTGAGCCCTATCAGTCGTGCCTTTCAAGAGGATGGCTTGAGTCTTAGCGGCGGCCATCCTGAATTTCTTCTTCTCGCACCACTCTTCTACTAAGTTGGCGCACCTTTCAGCTTCTTCTTTCAGTCGGGCTCTGCTGTTCGAGGCTACCACAACGGCCAGATCATCCACATAAGCCGTAGCGGGGAACCGCTCCTCTTCTAGTACTCCCAACAACTCATTGAAGACTAAATTCCATAGGGCAGGACCTAGAACAGAACCCTGGGGACAACCTCTTTCCATGGAGTCTTCAACTTCGAAGAAGTTACCCCGGATTCTTAAAGTTCGGTCCTGAAGATAGCTCCGTAATAGCTCGTACAAGTTGCTGGGAGCTTCATACTTCTGCAACTGCTGGAGTACGCAAGGCCACCAAACACTATCGAAGGCGGAAGAGATATCAAACAGGAGGAGCATAACATACTTCTCCGCCTTCTCTTCGACGTCATTGCGCACTCTTAGCAGGGCATCCACGGTTCCCCTACCCTTAGTGGATCCGTACTGCCGTGGATGGCTCGCTCTTGAGAAGACTGGTCGTAGGCTCACCAGGAGTAGGTTCTCTAGCACTTTGCTCATAACAGGGAGGAGACATATAGGCCTATAAGACTTGGCTAATTGCTTGTCCTTGTCTCCTCCCTTGTAAAGGAGCCTTATGTCGGCAATTTTCCAATTTCGTGGAAAGTATCCCCTATCAAGGCAATCATTGAATAACTCCAACAACGTATCTTCGATATAGGGGATACTATTCTTTAGCATAGCCGCATCGATTGCGTCTAAACCGGGAGCACGACCAGTCCTTTGCCTGTCCACAGCAGCACGGAGATCCCATATGTCCCATGGTGGGCACAAGTCCGTACCAGGTGGACATACCGTAGTGTGCCTTATGAATTCCTCTTCTTCATTATCTTGGGACGGATCATCTCTGGGGTAGATTTCTGCTATAAACATCTTCGATGTCTCTTCCAGAGTGGTTGCATGGGTAGCTCCGCACTTGAGCGCAGCAATCACTTGTTGTGGTGTCAGCTTACCCAGGGCCACTCTGTAAGGAATACCCCAAGGATTCTTTGATGACTCCTCAACAATGAACTCGTCCCAAGACTTCCGCTTTTGTAAGCGCACCTCATTTCGATATGCCCTGGCTTTAGACTTGTACTCGTCACGAAGTGTAATGCGCCTCTCGTCACAAATACACCTCTGGTACGACCGCCGGGCCTTGTAGAGCTCTCTCTTCATCGTAGTTAAGGCCGGCGTCCACCATGGGACAGGTCGAACTCTCCCCTTCCGATGCTGGAGGGATTCTTCAGCAGCATCACGGATGACAGTTGTGATCCTGGATACTCTGTAATCCAGATCATGAGTCTGATCCATGTCAGCCTCATCCCATTCCTCATCAACCAATTTTCCCTCCAGAGTCGACCGGAAGGCGCTCCAATCTTTTCTTCGGGTTATGTAACCCTTGTCTGTGCCGTGGGAACTAAATGAACTTTCCACCAGCCTAAAAGATATCGCCTGATGGTCGGAACTCGTCTCAGATCGAAGGGTCCAATCGATGATGCGGTTTGCCAGCACCGGTGATGCCAAAGTCACATCGATCCAGCTGTGGCCTCTTGCACTGGAGAACGTTGGAATAGCGGAGGAATCGTTTATGACTAGTAGCTGGCTCCTTGCTATAAATTCACCAAGCTGGACGCCTCTTCTATTGGTTCGATTGGACCCCCAGACCGTGTTCCAAGAGTTGGTATCTGAGCAGATGATCACGTTCCGAGTGCAAGCCGTGATCATCTCCACAGCGGTTATGTCCCTTTCTATGTCATTTCCATCAGGCATGTATGATGAAACTAGCGTAAAGGAAATATTACGCCACTTGATATGACATGCGACACAATCCGCCGTGGTATACTGCCTCAGATCCATCACATCGAGGTTAGGACTATTAATCACAATAGCAGCCCTGGGCCTCCTCTCTCTACTGCCCAAAGCTATAACTCTCGATGTGAGGCCAAACCCCGTTACTAAGTTCCCACGGCAGGTCGGTTCTTGAACCGCCATAACATCGTAGCGCGGATAAAGAGCCCGGAGTTCGTCTGCCACTATATGCCGGCGCCCCATGTTGAGCTGGAGGATGGTAAGCTCACTCATAAAA